CGTTTATCAGACAATAAATAAGTTTTACAATGTTGTTTAAAAAGACGAGGTTTTGAAATAATTGTAACAGATAGAGGCAAAATTGTAAACCAAATTTTGGGTGCAAGAATAAATATGCTATCATTTAAAATTTTTAGTCTACTGAATGGTATTATATATGGAATGAAGTGACGAGTAGATTTAAAAATATGTGAAGGTTTGAGTAAAAAAATATTTGAGAAATTAGATGGTAGCAGATTATTGACAAATTTGAACATGAAAAAGGCAACAATAAAAATATGTAATTTGTATATTGTAAGAAGACCTAAAGAAGAAAAATAGTCATCAACATGAGTGGTAATTTTTAAATATAATAATTGTTTTATAAATTTTTTTTGAATTCTATATAGTTTTGAGACATGAACAGCAGGGCTATTGCCCCAGATAAGATTACAATATGATAGATGAGGAAAAACAAATGCATTGTACAATACTTTGTAAAGTAGTTTTATTAAGTTTGTATCTTATTTTATAAAGAAGACCTAAAATTTTGCTTAATTTAGAAGAAATAGTATTAATATGTTCAGCCCAAGATAAATTATCTGAGATAATTAGACCCAAAAATTTTGTACTGTAAGACCTCTCCATTAAATGGTTATTCAAATGAAGATTTAAGGGACCAAAAGTATTGGTAAGGATCTTCGGACCAATAATCATATAATTACATTTTTGATAGTTAATTTTTAGTTTATTGGTATAAAACCAGTTAGTAATAAGTTTTAGGTTATAATTAAGTAAGTCCGAATCCTTCAGAGGTGATTTTGTTGAATAGAAAAAGTTAGCATCATCAGCATAAAAAAGAATTTTGAATATGGTTTTAATAGAGAACAAATCATTAATAAACAATATAAAAAGCAAGGGTCCAAGAATAGACCCTTGTGGGACACCTTTAGGTACCAAGATTTTATGGGAATTGACATCATTAACTCTTACATACTGGTATCTGTTGAGTAAATAAGACATAAACCAAGAATGAGATTACCAC